AAAAGGAAAAAAAAAAAAAAAAAAAAAAAAAAAAGAAAAGAAAAAAAAAGAGTAAACGCCACAGGCCCTCAAGGATGCAAAGACATTTCTAGTGAGAACCCGAGAATAAAGGCTACCTCACTTGAGTTTTCAATTTTTGTGATTTGAAAATCACGTCTGATACCAAAGATTTTGTTGCCTTGTCTGGTCTGTGCTGGAAACACCACTTTCCCTGCTCCCCTGGACGGGCCAGCCGAGAGCCCCCCTTACCCCGGCCGAGAGCCCCTCACCGTCCCCAGAACCCCCCCCAGCCCCGTCGTGTCCCCAGAGAGTGAGGGAGAAGGCAAGCGAGCGACTCGGGGATGGCAGCGTGGTAGATGAGTGCCTTTTTCTTGTACCAAAGGTGTGTGGCCATTTCTTTGCTCCTCTGCTTTGATCCTAAAGACTCACTATTACCTCAGCTCTCCAAAAGGGACGGATTCTGGCAACTTGTAGTCTTTGGGTGTTGGGATGAAGGAGAGAAACCCAACCCTTGTCCTAACTGAAGAGAAAGCATCCCCCTTGCCGCCCGCTGCGGGAAAGGTGCTGGTTCTCCGGCATGTCCCCCCTCTCAGATGTCCCTATGTCCCGTCCCCCCAACCTGGCGTGGTCCCCAGGGTCCCTCCATCCAGCCCCTACTTGCCCCAGGAACACTGACCTGGTGTCCGGGTCCCTTCTTGTGGGGCATCACTCATGGGGAAAGGCTTTGCTCCATGTGCTTGGCCAGCCCAGGGGGCCCTACAGAAGCCCACGAGATGTGGGTTTCCTCACGGGGTGTTTCTTCCTCGCTCAGCTCAGACTCGGGCTTCGGTTTCCCTTTTTGGTAGCGCAGGGAGGGTTCGTGGCTTTTCTGTCTGGGAAGACGAAGGCAGGAGCAGTGGAAAGTCTCACCCTGGGCTTTCTCCAAACCCCTCCTTTAGGGAATGGTTTGGAGCTGTGGAACCTTTCATTGGGAACAGTTTCCAAGTCCCCAGAGGGGCATTTTTGGCTCATTGGGGAGATGGGCGCCACCGGGGCCTCTCCCTCCACTGCCCGGCCTTAGCAAAAGGCAACGGGAGGACCCGCTGGAGAACGTGCTCTTCCACAGCGACCTCCAGAATGTCTACTTTCGGGAAATCTTGGGTTGAGTTGTACCTACTTGGCTCAGGCTCCGGCCGAGGTGGCTCCTTTTGAGTTGGACCAAACTTGCCCATCCTCCATCCCACCGGGCAACCTGACACAGCAGGTCAGAGCATCCCCGACCCCGTGGCCACCCCCGTCCCCCCATTGTCCCCCCCCCCCAACTATTGCCTTGGCCAGATCTTGCCCAACCCCGTGGCCGCGCCACCCCACTTCTACCTGATACCCACATGGCTTGTGATACCAAAGACGTTCTCTATGCAGGAGAAAGCCTTCTTTTCCACCCAGCACAGACCTTACAAGCCTTTGACAATGTTCTCTGAAATACCTCAAAATATTTAATGTATAGTTTATGTGATAAAAAAAAAAAATTACTTAGCTAGTTTTTGGAATTTGTGACTTGAAGCTTTATACTGTTAAATTATAATTTTGCAGAAGACGGCATGTTCTTATTTCTTTGACGCGTTCAATGGGAGACATATTGAATGTTAAGGAAATGAAAGCTGGATAGTTTCACGATTTAAAAAAAAAAAGAGAGAGAAAGAGAGAGAGAAAGAGAGAGAGAAAGATTAAAAAAAAAAGGACCCTTGGAGTTTACAGATTTCATATTTAAACAAGTCCTTTTAAAAAAAAAAGAAAAAAAAAGAAAAACTAATAATGATGACGATACCTTTGCGTTCAGATGTGTTACTTTTCTCTGAGTCATGTCGTACAAGAGTATTTATTATATGTGTTCTGTGTTCAAATGTAATTTAAAGAAGACAAAAAAAAAAGACAAAAAAAAAAAAAGACAAGATGAGAATTTGATTTATGCATGAAAAAAATATACTCTTTCTTGAAGTAATGTAATAATTATTCGGGGAGGGGTGGTCGGGTGGGAGCGGGAGGGGACAAACTGTGCTTTTTTTGTCCACGAGTTTTCGGTTGATGAGGACTTCTCTGCATGGATCACCTTCTTTTTTTTTTTCCACCTCACGCACCCACGGGAGAGTCGTCGTTTATCCCCACGTTTTTCTTCCTTCGCTTCTTTTCTTCCTTTCCTCACCCCGGGACTGGTGTGGGGAGGCAGGGGGGCTGCTCCCAGGACCCCCGGGGAGGACGGGGCGCTCGGCGCGGCCCCCTGCCCGGCAAACAGGGTAAGGGTATCTGGGGCAGGGGACCCCGGCGTGTGCACCCACCCATCCACCCCCTGCTGTGGGGCCCGCCTCCTCACTCTGCTTTGGGTTTTTTGGGTTTGTTTTTTTTTTTTTTTTGCTTTATCCAGCTCTGTGGGTCAAACCCCAAGTTCAGATGAGAGAAGGACAATCAGCCGACACCACCTGCACCGGTGAAGCCGCAGAGCTCCTCGTGTCCTCTGAGACAAGGGAAACGGCCCCTGGGCACCCCAAACCTTCTCCCCAAGGATGAGAACTTTGCAGGTGATGCTCCCAAGTCCGTGTCCCTTGGGGAGACCTCACAGACCTGCCTGTGCCCTTGCCCTGCATGGAAAGAGGCGCTGAAGACGGTACTGCATCAACACCCAACCGGACCCAGGGACGGACTGCAGCGACCCATGTCTGAGGTTTTTTCACCCCAAGGATGTAGTTTGGGTCAGAGACACCACCCAGCACACAGAAGAAGAAGAAGAAGGAGAAGAAGAAGGAGGAGAAGGAGAAGGAGAAGAAGGAGGAGAAGGAGTATAAGAGGAAGAAGAGTCCAGCCAGTGGAGGTGGTCCTGGAGGACCCCAACCCACCGGCAGGTCCCAGGGGAATTCGGAAGGTCTCCCTGCCTGTCCTAGGCAACCAGGGGGCTTTCTGCAAATATCCAGAGAGCCCCTCCTGAACAGGGCTGCATCCACTGCTCCTTCCTCCCTTTACTCCTCCTCCTCTCCTCTCTTAAAGATGGAAGGAGAACAGCAGTAAGGAGTCACCTCTTTGGAGGTCAGAAAGATGATGGGGCCCTGGAGGAGGCAGCGATACCGACTTCTTTCCCCTTCCCCACCAGTCTCAGAGCAATTACCTTAAACTGCTGATTCCTCAGCCCTCTCCTGCCTCTTCACCACTCCATCCTTCGCCTCTGGCACTAGAGGTGGCCCCAAAGCTCAGCCCACTATGAGGAAACAGATCTCAGCTTCTTCAGGCCCCACCAAAGTGGCCCCCAGAAGCAAAGTAGGTGGTTGTGGGTTTTTTTTCATCTCCATCTCTTGTCTAATCTGGTCCCCCTGCAACCTTCGCCTTCTTCATGGCCAGCACTAAGATGCTCTGTGTTCACTGACAAATGACCTGGGTTTCAGGAAGAGATGATGTTTATTTCAGCAGCACCATTCACCTACTAACCACCCCCCCTGCCCTCCAGGGAGCTCTGCATTCCCACCATGTCCCATTTCCTCCAACGAGACCTTTTCCAACGTGAGAAGCTTTGGTGCTTGGAGGCCAAGACCTAGTTTACAACCGCAAGAAGGTCTCACCAGGCTTGGATGCAACCCATAGTCACAAGTCCTCGGACGTTGCAGAGACCAGCTGGTTTCCATCACGGGACACGAACCGAGTGTCTTGGGAAACCCCAGAGAAGCCAAGAGCCAGACGCTCTCCCATGTCCACCAGGGTGCCGGATCTGGCTGTCCCTGCTGCCCACACCAACCAAAACCCCTTGAGGAGCAACTTGCCACGATACCAAAGATTTTTTTTTTCCCTGCAGGTAATGACAATCTGAGCTCTGTCCTAAAGACAATTCTCTCAACCAAGGTTGCCCCCAAAGGGTGTTTTTGTGCTGTGGGGAGCAGGAGAAAACCCAGGGCCCCTCCAAGGGTGATGGAGAGCGGACGGTTGGAGGGTGAGGAAGAGGAGGGAACCCCGGAATCCCCCACTGCGACATGCTGGTTCAGCCTGTGTCCTACTTCAGCTGTGGAAGTTTTCAGGGATTTTGGTCATTTTATTACCCATGATGCCCCCCAAACACTCCGGTTCTACCTTGGGTGGAAGTTTTCCATTGGTGGCTTTTGAGCTTTGACAACTCACCCTTGGCAGTGCTGTCCCCATCCTGCCGAGCAGGAGGAGTTTGGGCTCCTGGGGACGCCTGGATGGCTTTTAGCCATTGTCACCCCGCTGTGGCACGGCCAGAGCTGAGCTTTTCCAGCTCTAACGATGGCTCCACTGATGGGACGTCGGCACAGAGCAGGTCAGGAGCTGGCATTTCTCCTCCGTGACAAGAAATGACTTTGCAAGAACAAAAATCACCACTCGTCCCTTTTCTGGGCCATCTGAAGTCTGGGTGGGGAAGATGATTGGTTCCTCGTTACCTCTCTCCTCAACCCACTTTGGGCACCAGGAAGATGTCACCACCAGTGTCCCCGGTGTTAAACTGAGCCCTTTCCCTTGTCTCAGAGGACACCCACAGCCGGCGATGGGGCTGGAACCCACAGATGCTGCCCCCCCAGAATCTGGTCCCTCTTGAGTCTGTCTTTGTTTGGGGTTTTTGAAAGAGAGGAAATTAAAAAATGCGAAGAACAAAATTCAGGTTGTTGGGTTTTGTTTTGTTTTCTTTTTGTTTGGTTTGTTTTTTGTTTGTTTTTCTCTTTCCCCTTAACTTTCTAAAGGAAAACAAGACATCAGACAGAATTAATCCCAGCCAGGAAGAACCCGCAGCCTTGGGTTTGCCAGTCCAGCCACCTCCAGAAAACATCGCTCATTTTTCTGTATAGCAATAGGCAACGCTCGTCCTCGTCCTGCACGGTCCGAGGGCTGCATCTCTGAGTTTTTAAATGACCTTTTCCTTCTAATTAAATTGAATTAATTTTCTTTTTTTTTTTTTTTTTGCCTGCACGGTCCGAGGGCTGCATCTCTGAGTTTTTAAATGACCTTTTCCTTCTAATTAGTATTTATTTTTTTTTTTTTTTTTTTTTTGCTGCTGCTTCATTGTCACTCTCATGGGATAGGTTTTACTCTACAGCGAAATGCAATTGTTACTCCTCTGTGTCTTGCAACTATATTTGTTTAAGCTATTTACAAACGTTAAAAAAGAAAAAAAAATAATTAAAAAAAAAGAGTCTTATGTGTCAGGCACTTTATCCAAACTGTGCTGTGTGCTCTGGAGTTTGTTCCTTGTTCTTTGCAATGACTCACGCAGGGGAAATTACCAGGAAACTTAACTCCAGCCTGTCAACAGGTTTTAAAAGAGGAAAAAAAAAAAAAATTAATCTCTATTTGTTCATCCTCTACTGGTCATGACTGTGTTGTATTTCTGCAGCTTTCTGTTTCTTCAATAAATTATTTTCTAGTCATTCACCCTGGCGTGTGTGTCCCACGGTGATGCTGGGGGGGTCCGTTCCCTCCTGAGGCTCCTCGGGAGGAGCAGCCCCATTTCAACCACCTCAGCTCCTCTCCCCACACCTGGCCAAGGACATCAAGGGGTGGGGGGACATTTGGGGGTCAAGCCCAGGCAACTGGGAAAGGTTCCTTCACCCCCCGAGGTTTTCCACCCGGTAGCTGCAGGGGTCAGAGCTTTCCCTGATGAAGCCTCACGTAATTTCATTTCTTGGCACCATCCATCTCCTGGCCAGAGCCCAAAGAAAACACTTGAATTCTCACAAACTCAGAGCAGAGGAGGCCAAAGCCCTCGTTAAACAAACCCATCGAGCTGGGGGTGCTGCGGGCAGGTCCAGACCCCCCGGGGCTGATTTAATTATTTATCTTTTTACCTGAATACCTCATCCTACTGTGTGTTTTGCCATAGACTCACAGACTGGTTTGGGTGGGAAGGGACCTTAAAGCCCCCCCCCAGTGCCACCCCCTGCCCTGGGCAGGGACACCTCCCACCACACCAGGTTGCTCCAAGCCCCCTCCAACCTGCCCTTGAACCCCTCCAGGGATGGGGCAGGACACAAGTGGCAAAGAGCTGGTGGCACAGACCGAGGGACCACAGGACCTTTCTGTGCAGCTTCCTCCCGCGGTGGCACAGCAGAGACGTACAGGAGAGGAGAGAAAAGCTAAAGACTTTTTAATTAAAAAATAAAAACAATAAAAAGGGTGATCCGGTCACCAGTTCACGCACAACTTCTCCAGCGGATGTCCCCAAAGCCCGGCTCTGCAGGACATGGTGCTCCTGTCCCACTGGGCAGAGCTGATCCTCATCACCCCCTATGTTTTGCCCTCCCCCCACAAAAGTACTTTTCAGGGCTGTCCCCAAAGGTGGGGACGTGGGTCCTGGGGGAGTGGGACAGGGCTGCTGTGGAGATGGGGCATGGCACATGGAGCCACCCCCACCATGAGCAGGGGTGGCAGAGGGGAGGAGGTGGAGATGGTGGGGAGGGATGAGGAGAGGCTGCAAGAAGGTGGGCTGGTTTGGCTGGAGCAGAACCCCCCCCCCCAGGTAATCCATGATACCCAGACCCCCCCTCCAGAAAACAGGGGGGCATTTTAAAATTGTGCCATTAGAGCCTGAGCTGTTGGGGAGATGCAGTTGAAAGCCACGGGGGATGGATCCAGCCCCACGTGAGGAGGATGAGGAGGATGAGGGTCTTCATGCAGCCGCTGCAGCTCAGCCCCTGGCATGGGAGTGAGTGACTGGGGGTGAGGGACTGTGCCCCTCACCCAGCCCCACTGCTGGCCTTCCATCAGGGCTTTTAATTAATTGAGAGGGGGTGTTAAGGCAGAGGAGCAGAGGTCAGGGGTCCAGCCTGGAGCAGGATCAGCCCCAGGAAGGAGAAAGCCCTTGGTTCCAGGGGGGCTCAGCAGAGGGAAGGGGGGTGGGTGCCAGGCAGGGGGTTGTGGGGTGAGGGGACAGGTGTGGAGGCAGACGTTAGTGGTTCTTCATGGCTTTACGGGGTCCTCCAAAGCCCACGCAGACACTGTGAAGGGGAAATGGAGCCGCTGGTGGGACACGTCCCTGGGGTCAGCGCCTGGACCAGCAGCCCCCCCACCAAGGATGGACCAGCCCCTCCGCAGCCATGGGGCTGCCCAGGCTTCAAACCCATCCAAATGTGACTTTTTAAAATGCCCATGAAAGGAGGGAGCCAGCCAGTTCTGTGCCTTGACGGCACCTCCCCTGTCCCGACGTGGTGGGAGGGTGGTGCCATGGCAGCTACACAGAGGGGCTGGGGAAGGAGGACAAAGCTGGGGTGGTCTCTGGGCGCAGGAGACCCGGGGTGGTCCCACGGGTGGCCCCAGCACGCAGGCTGTCCCCGCGGGTGATGAGGCCGGCATAGCCCTCCTGGTGGGAGAAGGCGTAGCTGGAGCGGCGGTGGAAGGAGCCGCGAGGGACGTGGGCACGTAGCTCCACCGAGGGCTCCGGCTCCCGCCTGGCCTTCAGGCAGATCTTCTGCAAAGAGATGGGGAGGTCAGAGCTCTGGCCACCTCCCGGGCAAGCCCTCACCCCAAGGAGGGACACACAGGGAGAGCAGGGACACCCTCCACCAAAATACCACCAAATTGGCTCTCAACTCCACCATGACCTGAGCTGATGGCATGTGATGTGTAACGTGGGGACTCTCTTGGGTTCTTCAGAGCTCTCAGAGCTCTGGAGCACAATCTCAACCCCAGCTCTCATCTGGGATCTCTTTGTACCATGGGCAAGATATGGTCCACAGCTCTACCAAGGCACTACCAAGACCTGTAGCAGACCCCAGTGCCTCCTAAGCAGCAGCTCCGGGGAGTCCTGGAGGGCAGTTCCTTGCTGCAGCCAAAAGAAGACCCTCTCCAAGAGCTGGAGCAGGTCTCTTGACTCAGGTCCTCCCATCAGGCCATGAACTGATTTGGAGAGAGGGCCCTGGAGCCAGACTTGGACACCAATGTCCTGAGACACCACCATCAGCTGAGCGTCACCAAGGAGAGGTGACGTGCCACCACTACAGCCCAGGCAGTGGCCTTCCTGGGGAACCTCACCCTTCCCATCACCAGCAGTGCCTTGGCCAGCCCCAGACATGGATGTTGGCAGGAGACCCCTCCCCATGCCAGCCCCCCCACAGCCCTCACCTGCTGGATGGTGGTTTTGCCCATGATGGTGCAGTACAAGCGGATAGTGAGTGAGGGGATGGTGTTCACCACCAGGGACAGGAGAACCACAAGCAGGACGTAGGGGTCGGTCAGGGCATTCTGGCTGGCACCTGTCAACACAAGAAGTTGGTGGGTGATATTTAAGTGGGGAAGGTGGAGAGGACAGAGGGAGCAACTACTGGGGGAGAGGCCCCCACCCATGAAGGTGGTGAGGGGTCTAAAGAGGAGATGGTACCTAAATTGGAGTCAAAAATCAAGACAGCAAGATCAAGAAGTGGTGATGAAGAGATGGTCTATAAGGTGGGAAAGAGCTCATAGCAAAGCCCTGGCAGGAGAAGGGAAGGACTGTGGAGGTCCCCAGGGCATCTCACCTGGGAAGTGGAAGATGGCAGGGGCTATTCTGAAGGCACTGAAGCTCTGGGTCAGGAAGGAGAAGAGGCAGAAGAACATCAGGCTGGCTGTAATGATCAGGAAGGACAAGGCTGTCCAGAACTTGGTGTCCAGGATGATCTGCAGGGGCAAGGGCACAGCACACAGAGGCTGCAGGGACCCTCTTCCCTACAACCACCGGTCCCAAATTCCTCCCCTGCCCCAAGGGAGATCATCCTCCAGCCAAAAAACTGCTGGGGATCATGTCAGAGAGTCAAGGGCTGAGCACAGCTGCAGTCCCTGAACATCTGCCCCAGGGCCAGCACGGAAGAGGACAGACCAGCGCTCACCTCCATGAGGACCGATAGCAATGCTGACGTGGCCACCGTGACGGCGAAGGACTCATAGTCACCAACAGCCCTGCTGCCCACGCGGTCCTGGAAGGCCCAGAGCGTGATGTAGAAGCTGGCGAGCGATGTGCTGACCCCATGCAGGAGGGTGACGCTGAAGACGCGGTAGTTGAAGAGCTCGTCTTGCTGCCCGATCACATAGAGCTCGGGGAACTCCAGGCTCTTCTTGGCACTCACGTCCTGCCAGGAGGACACCGAGCATCACCCTCCCCACCCACACTGAAGGGCAGGATTGGGCCCCCAACACACCCTCTGGGAAAGCTGCGATGAGTCCTTCCACCCACTTGCTCTGGGGTGACGGGGATGGAGGTACCCCAGGACCGGTGGTGACCTCCAAATGCCCGTTAGCTGCTTGGTACCACAAAGAGCCACGTGGATGGGGTGCAACGACCACCAGGCTGGTTCAAACCCCCCGAGGATGCAGCCTCCAGGCAGAGGGGCTGGATGCAGCCCAGTGAACCCCTACCTGCTCCAGAAGGCCCATGGACAGCACAGGATAGGCGGTGTAGAAAATGTTGTAGAGCGCAAGGAACCAGCCCTCATACAGAGGCTAGAAGAGAGAAGAACGTGGCTGTGAGGCCAGTGTAGCTTTGGAAAAGCTCATAAAGGATGTCCAGGCACCAGGGGTGAGTCCGAGAGACTCGCATCCAAAAGCTGGGGAAGTCTCCATGGACTTGCCCCAGGCTCTGCATCACCCCACGATGTCTGCAGCGATGGGTGGGCTGGCTGGGGGGCCGTGCTGCAGATGGAGATGGGGAGCTGGAGCCACACAGTGGGGAGATCAAGTCACACTGATGGCCCTTGGGATAAAAGCTCCCATTTTGGGGGAAAGCAGCTTAATGCATGTGGGCTCTTTCCCTGAGTCTGTCCGAGACTGAGCTGCAGCTCACAAGAACATCCCAGATCTCCCCAGGCTGCTTTTCCCAACCCAGCCAGGTAAAAAGCAGTTGCATCTCAGCCAGGCAGCCCCAAAAAATTGCCTAATACCAAGGCAGGAGAGAAAGGAGAGCAGGGCTATGATGTGGACACGTGTCCATCAGGTAGTACGAGGCACGAGACCTCCATGGGGTCCTCCAAACACCCATGTGCAGACCTCCATGGGATGGATGCAACCCTCTGCTCACAGCAGCGTCCCTCACCTGAGCTGTGAACCCGCTGTGGAAGGCGAACCAGACCTGGGACATCAGGCCAGCAAAGGTCTTGTAGAAGAAGTAGCGGAGGAACTTGCAGATGCGCAGGTAGGCCCAGCGGCCGTGGACGAGCAGGAGGCGCTGGAGGTAGGAGAACTGTGCCAGGGCATAGTCACTGCACTGCACGGCCTGCATGCCCTCCAGCCCGCTGATGCCCACACCGATGTCCGCAGCTGCAGGGGACAGGAGGGCGTGAAACACAGGTGGGGAGAGTTGTGGGGAGCCGGGCGCTTGGTTTCCCCTGGATTGACCCCAGGCTGATGGGCAGAGGGTGAATCCAGGAGTGATGGACAATCACATGCCATGGTTGAGGGTGTGAGATACCAGGCAGGGTTGGGCATGCGAAGAGCACAGCCCTGTGCCAAGGCTGCTGGAGAGGGGCAGGGAGGTCTCTGACAGCTGCCCAGGTTGGTGCTTGAAGGTTCATCAAGTTTCATCCCAGCTGCTAAAGCAAGTGGTCCACCTTGCTCCTGGCCCAGCTGGTCCTGGTCCTCTCACTCCCCTCCCAGCACGGCAACGTGGGGAACTGGGTTGGGGGTTCCCCTCTCAGCTCCTCACCTCGAAGGACAGAATGATGGGCCACCACCACTCCCCACCAGTGGGACACACTGACCAAAACCCCCAGTCCTCCCTGCCCTGAGCCTCACTTTTGATCATGTTGACATCATTGGCCCCGTCCCCGATGGCCAGCGTGATGGCCTTCTTGTGCTTCTTCACCAGCTGCACAATGAGAGCTTTCTGCTTGGGGGTCACTCTGCAGCAGATCACCGCCTGGCAGCTGGTGGCCAAGTCCACAAAGGCCTTCTCCACCAGACTGCCCTCCTCCTGCGAGCCCGTAGCCCTGCAGGCTAGCCACCGCCACAGCTGCCCCTTCTTCTCCTTCTGCACCTCTCCCGTGTGGAGGATTTTGTCCTGAGGGGAGAGCACACGTGGTTGGGACCTCAACCATACCCTCCACAGCATGAGGGCCCCCCACCTCCTCAACGATGCTCTTAGATCTTGTCAGTGCTACAAAACAGTGACCCCAGCTTTCTCCAACCTCATCACGCAGCCTGCATCACCTCAGAAGACCAGTTGGGCAGGTTTGGTCAAGCCCCTCAAAACCAAATGACTGGTGCAAGGTTGTCCTTCTCTCCACTCTTCATCCCTCAGCCCAAAAATGGCCTTTCCCCACCCCTCGGGCAGGAGGGGCATCACTTCTTCCGTGTACTGGTGTCACCCAGGACTTTGATAGAACCAGGGCAGAAACAGCACAAGCAGGGAGTGGAGAAGAGCTTCCAAGTGCCACCTTACCAGGAAGTCCCCGCTGACAATGAGAGCTCTCTTCTTGTGGCGTGAAGCCTCCGGGCGCTGCTGGGAGAGGTGGCCACTGCAGAGGGCTTCCCCGCCACCACTGAGGTTGTTGTTGCTCATCCAGTAGGCCTCGAGGATCTCACTGTGTGAGGAAGGGGTTGTTGGAGCCAAGCTGGGGACACGTGGGGATGCTGCCTGGCTTCAACTGAGACCTGCAGTTGGCCACTGCCATCTCAAAGCCAGTGCCAGGGGGATGGGGCTGGTACCCAGCGGTGGGAATGGGGGGGACAGAGAAGGGGCCTGAGGGGCTCATTGATATAAAAAATCAGCCTCTGTCCCTGTGGTTTAGAGGCTGGAGAGACAGTTTATGCACTTTCTGGTCAAAGACCACCAAGGAAGGGAACATTATGGGGCAGAAACAGCTGGTGAGTCCTGGGAAAGCATCAGCAGATGAGGGCCATGGACATACAAGCTGGGATGAGGAAGGAGAAGCATCTCTGGCAGAGTCAAGCTCTGCCCACCCTGCACAGGTTTCTGTGCTCTCGGGTGTCTTCAGTGGGGACAAGAAGAACCAGAAGGTGATGGTTCCTAACCTGATCTCCTTCTCCTCCAGGATGTCCATGTCATCTGTGAGCAGCTTGCAGGCATAGCCGATGTTCATTGCGGTCTCTGCAACATGTAGGTGTCAACGGCCAATGGCCACACAGTGCTTCCCCCCACCCCAGGGCAGCCCCCAGCCCTCGGGTCCAACAGCCCTCAGAGTAGGCAGTAGCTTCTGGGGCTCTGTGCCATCATGCAGATGGGTTCTCCTGCTTCACCCCATGGGTGGGACATGCTATTATTTTATATTAAAGGGAAGAGCAGAAGCTGGTTGTTGCCCACTCCCAGGGTCCCCTATCTCTTCTCTGGGCCTGGTTAGGGGAGAAGCTGAAATGTGTTGGTGGGATCTGGGGTCCCCTCCACTGACCTTGTTTGTCTCCTGTCAGCACCCACACTTTGATGTTGCCCAGTTTCAGCAGCTGGATGGTCTCAGGGACTCCATCTTGCAACTTGTCCTCAATGGCCGTGGCCCCAAGCAGCTGGAAGGAGGCGAGTGGGTGGCATGACATGGGGCAGAGCAAGATGTGCAGGTGGGAATTAACCCGCATCCAACCAGGGGTCCTTGCCCATGGGTGGACACCACCTGACAGATATCTAACCCAGCATCTACTAGCATGTCACAAAGTCACCCCCTCATGCTGGAGAGCCGAACCCCACACTCCTGCCCTCTGTGGGACCAGCAGAGCTGGTTCCTCCTAAATCCATCCCACCTGCAGGTTCTGCTCCATCTCCTCGTACAGCTTGTCCAGCTCCCGCGCGCGGTCCTGCAGCAGGACACTGGCCTCATGGTGCCTCCTGCTCCAGACGCTGTACTCCACCTCGCTCACCTCCTTGCTGGCCAGGCATAAAGTCCTCAGTGTCTCCTCTGCAAAGTGCTGCAGAGATGAGACATCAGGTCTCCCTTCCCAAGACCAGGATGACTCTGACGGGGCATCAGGCCAGCCAGCCATGATGCTCCCATGGGCAGAGCCAGAGACACTCCAGGATCTGCAGGTCTCCCTCTGGGCTCTGACTCCCTCCCCCCATCCTACAGCATCCCCATGAGCATCCTTGCAATGCAACTGGTCCATGCAGAACACCAAAGGTGGCTTTGATGCCCTCTTGGCCCCATCCCGTATGCAGGGGAGGGTTCTAGAGCAGAAGGAAGGAAAAAGGACCAAAATCCTGAAGCCAGAGGAAGAAAGAGCAGCAGAGACAGCCAGGGACTCCAGGACACCCAGCCCAAAGGTAGCAGCAGGGAGACCAGCCCTTTCTGCCCCAGACTCACATCCAGCGCCATCTCAGTGAAGGTCTCATTGGGCCCTCGCCTCTGCAGCCTCTCCAGGATGACCGTGTCAGCCCCCTTGGTGTAGAGCCGGATCCTGCCCTGGGGGTCTCGCACTGGGAGGGAGGGGAAGGACAACTTAGGGACCCAGAGAGATGGCTCCCACTCATCACTGTCCCCATGCAATGGCCGTGATGCAGAGACCACTGCAGGGGACACTAGTGCTTTTCTGCTGGAAGTCATAGGAAGACCATGGTGGATCTACATCACCATGAGGCAGGATCAGGCCTCAAGGACTGTCAGTTCCTCACACATCTCCTCTGAGTCCCTGATTTACTTGCTCGCTCTTGGCTGCTCAAACCCTTCTCAGCTGCCTTCACCAAGGCATTGGGGTGAGCAAAACCCCAGGACAATCCTTAGGAGCCCTTGTGACAGTTGTTGTCAGTCACGGCCATCCTGGTGCCATCGCTTGCAGGGCTGAGTATGGCAGGGACCCTCCGTGTTCCGGGGGGGCCCCCTGAGACACCCCGTCCTGCTCACCCAGGACAGACATCCTCTTGCGATCGCTGTTGAAGTCCAGCATGGCCAGTACTTTGTACGTCCTCTTCCTCCCCAGCTCACTGATGGTGATGGTGTCTTGTGTTCGGGCCAGAAAGACATACCCCAAGTTCCTGGCTGCCAACACCAGTGCTTCTTCATCCGGTGAAGCTGCCTGATAAACCAGCTGGTCTGCAGAAGAGGAGGAGGAGTTAGACAAGGAGACTCCCAGCCAAGCAACTCTTGGACTTCTGAAACACCCTGCTCTTTCCCAGCACCAACATTATCTATGGAGACCTTAAGGTCCAAGCCACCAGGTAGGGAAACTCTGTCCTACTTGTCTCATCTCTTCTGCTCATTGCCCCAGGCAGGACAAGTGTCCAGCCAGAGATGGATTATCCCCCCAGTGCTTCCGTTCCAACTAATTATCTTTAAAACAAACCCAACTGTACACATCCATGATGCCAGGACAGTGGTCCAAAGCATCCTTGGGCTCTCACACCACTTGAGCCCCCACAGCAGAGCTTTGCTGGGCCACGGAAAAAGCCATTGTGGCCTCAATGCCTTGAAGGGCAGCTCGACCCCACTCCAAGCATCAACCATGTCAACGGCTGTGGCCAACCCACCGCCCTTCTCCTCCACCATGACAGTGTGGCAGAGGGCCAGCAGCCTCAGGAACTCCCTCAGCACGGGGTCGTTGTCCTGTTGGGCGGCTTCCAGCAGCGTTGGGTCGCAGAAGTCCAACTTCTTCTCCCCGTGGTGGCTCCAGGTCAACCCTGACCCCTGCAAGAAGCACGGGCAGGGCTGCAGGCACCCGGGAGAGACCGAGCACCGGGAGATGCCACCAGGTTGCAATGCAGCCACCCTGTTCTGGCATGGTCCCATCAGAGATCCACAGACCCAGACCAGAGTCCGTGAGCCCAGCTCTGCATTGGCGGGGGGGAGTATAAAAATGTTGGGAATCATCAGAGATCCACAGACCCAGACCAGAGTCTGTGAGCCCAGCTCTGCATCGGGGGGGAGTATAAAAAGGTTGGGCATAAAAAAAATAATAATAATTAAAAAAAAAATTAGAATTGCATGTTTCTGCAATGATTTTGGTTCCCCTGTCCTTAATTGCCAGCTAAGAACTGGCAAACTCGTAGCATCCGGCCCTACACGGGAGAGGGTTCCTTAATTGCCAGCTAAGAACTGGCAAACTCATAGCATCCAGCCCTACACGGGAGAGGGGAGTTACGCACCGATGGCTGCTGCTTCTCACAGCCTGTGCCCGTACCTGCCAAAATAAAAATAATTCAATTAACAGAGAGCTGGCAGGGGGGGGGGTTCGAGCAGTTTCTCTGGAAGGGGCTGCTGCTTTTGCTGGCCAAAAGACTGGCAAAAAGGGACAAGTTTCCAGCGTCCGCTCAGCATCGGTTCCTGAGCCAGGCTGAGTTAGGATGGCCGGGTCTGAATTATTTGGCTCTTGGACTGTTCAGAGAAAAACTACACTTTTTTAATGAATGTTAAAAATCCAGGTCTAGATTTCACCCGTGTTTCCTGGGATATAGTTGGCCAGAGACTGGTGGGATTACGGCGATGCTGCTGTCACAGAGGTGCAAGACCATGCAGCAGGCAGGAGAAAATTGGGTTCATTCCCACTTAAAAATTTTGCCAGATTTGTTTTTCCCCTTTTTTTGCTTTTATCCCTGTCCATTTGTCCCAAGTGCCTGATACTTATCTCAGGAAAAAGGAGCTCCATGGCCCACCTCACTTGCTAAATTTCACTAATTAAGCGCTGAGACAGCTCCCAAAAGCCAGCCAAAATTTCGAGTAAACGTAGCAGTAAGAAAAGGAAGGACTTGGCAATTCTCAGATTTCTAAGGGGAAAACCAAGCAAAATCATAAAAAAAAAAAGAGCAAAGAGCAATTACATGCATTCACTGTAAAGAAACAACATAAGGGAAACGATAATTTCTTTGTCTCCTCCATAGGTCACCTCAAGTGCCCATATGTGGAAACCAAGCCGGAGATTCACCCAAGAACGATGCAAAGAAGAAAAGCAAAACCTCCTTTTTCTCTCCAAGACCTTTATAGAAAATAAAAATCCATGGGCCTGAGCTGGTCCATCTGGGGGTGCCTCCTCTGCCTGCCCTGTCCTGGATCAGCTAATTATTATTCCAGGTGGGATCCACCTCACTCAGACGCCGTGTTTGCCGTGGGGCTGTGCTGAGCTCCCAATCCCAGGCTCCCCTTTGGTATCAGGGAAGACCCAGATGATCTCAGCTGAGTTCGGGGCGTGATACATCTCCTGAAAGGCAGGCTCACATTCTTGGAGGGCAGAAATGGGCCCTGACTCCATGCACCAGGAGCACGAGACAAAGGTGACCGCAGGCGTGGTGGCCCCTGCAGAGCACCGGTAACATGGGAGATGAGAACAAGCAGAATTCCTACAGCTTCTGCCTACTTGCTGGACCACCAAGACCAATCCACATGCCCCAAGCTTCCTAACAAGCCAGCAGGAGGGGAAAGAACCAAAGTGGCCTAAATTCAAGGTCTACTTCACCAATCTCTACAAACTTGCATCCCCCCAAAAGTTACCATAGATGGTCCCATTGATGCAGCATTTCTTGAAGGTCATCACATTTTGTGTCAAGGTGCCAGTCTTGTCCGAGAAGATATATTCGATCTGGCCGAGCTGATCATTGAGGCTGGTGCTTCTGGCTTTTGCTGGAATGTCCTTGGCGGCGTAATACATTTCCAGATCCCAGTTGATAAAAAAGCTGTTCACCAGATAGATGAATTCAAACCTACGGAAGATAGAAGAAGACTTACACTGGGGAAGATGGCTTTACTCACATCCCAGGGAGTCTTGGGGATCTGACACAGGACAGAAGGGCAGAGGAGAACTCCCCACCTGGATCTTATTGCTCTGAGCTTGGGGGAGGCAAGAGGCTTTTCATTGTTTGTGGCTAGTTTTCCAGAAGGCTCATCACCCCAGCCTGAGAGCCCATTGGGACCCAGACAACTGGGCTCCCCTCTGGAAACCTGGCCCTTGATGACAAAATTCATAGATCTGGAGACTCAGTGAAGGGCTGAAAAGTTTGGAAACTGCTTCTTCCAGCACAAATTGTGATCAATGCCCACTCACAACGGCTCTGCCCTTCTCTTGCCCACTCTGCTGCTGCTCAGGGAGGAAACATCACCTTCACCAGTCTCAGACTCAACCCGCCCACAATTTCCAACATCAGTCGGTCAGTCTTTGCATCTCTTTTCTGGCTTTCCTCTGGGAAGACCTCAAAGCACATCATCAGTGTTTGTAAGACACCCTCAATGGATCCCTACCCTCTCATGTCTAAGGGAACACATGGGGATGAGTTGCTCAGGTCACAACTGGATATTTTGTGCAGCCTCATTTTCTAAACCAAGGTGCCAGCCAAGGACAGGCAGGGGGTACTGATCTCTGATCACTTCCAAGCTCTTACGTTATATACATGGACATGGGTATGATGATGCTCAGGAGGATCATGAAGCCCCAGAAGCTGAAGAAGGCCTGCTGGGCAGGAGTTGTGTGCTTGTAGAGAGCAGAGAGGTAGCTGTGCTTCTCCTGGAACATCTTGGCCCAGAACCCAGAGGCAACGGCAAGGCACAGTGATATGACCAGCAGCACCAGGAAGATCTGAGATGGGAAGCCAAGATGAGAATGGCCCATCCCGCAGAGCCCACCCGTCTCTTTTCTAGGACCAATCATTGCCCCTTCCAGACTGTTTGTCACATTTAGATGTAAACTTGTCGAAAGGTGTCCTTGTGCCTGAAGCTGGTTCTCAGAACTCATCCTGGGCTGAGATGAAGGATCACAGCACGTATTTCAGCTTGACATCTCACCAAAACCCAACTTTCCCACCCTCCTGATTGCCTCGGACATCATCTCCCTGGACAAGGGGTATCCTGCAGCCTCCCTGCTGGAGTGCCAGCAGCAGAGCAATGCTAGGGGCCAGTCTGAGAGGTGATGACACTCAACCACCAGGAGCAGGAGTAAGAACCATCCAGTTCCTCATTATGACCACACTGTTTTGCTTCCCACAGAGGAAAGGGTCCTCCTTCCTCCATCCTCCATCTACTCTGCTGAGCCACAGCCTGCAGGTCCCTCAGCACAAAATGCCTCCTTGGACCTGCACAGTCATGGGTTATTAAAACAGAACAGGAGGGCTTGGAGCTCCTGAATCCTCCAGCTCCTTGGTCCATGGGGCTGCTCTTCACCTGAGGAGTCAGAGCTGCCAGTGTCCAGGGTTTAAGCAACACAATCACCACTCAGGCTGTTCCACACCCAGCAACTACCACTTCATGAGAACATCACTTGGTATTTGCCCATAACATGCTAACCCCAAAATATTTTGAGCAAAATATTGCAAACTGAAGAAAATCAGCATCAACCAAGCAAGCAGCCTCTCACGAGAAGACTTGTGAGCAACCCCAGGAGGCCAGTGGACCAGGGCGGGAGGTGTTTGCACCACACTCACTATGATCACCAGCCGGTCCATCATGCGGTCCAGCTTGGTTTTCTTCCGCTTGATCTTTCCACAGTTCCTCATAATTTTGGAATCAAATCCTGGACAAGAAACATTTTACAAGTGAAAACCCAAGTCCAGAGCCCCCAGAAGGTTGACTTGCAGCTACGTGATGCTGGTTTCCTCCACAACAAGATCTTCCCACCTCTGAGGACTTCAGAGGACCTCATCCCTTGGTCAGTGGATAATCAAGCCGTGGCTGCACACAAGGAGAAGTGCTGCTTACACCTCCCCTCTACCCACAGCTACTCATGGCCAAGCTCTCAGCTGCACTGAGCCACAAAGTGGAGTGGATCCAGGTCAGATATAACCTGGGATGAGTAGAGGTTTGGTACCACCACATCATCTCCCTGCCAGCGAACCCAAGTCAAAGCTTGGGACAACCTTCTGGGGGCTTGGTTTTGGCGGTGGGTCCTCCCACTTTGTATCAGCTGAGAATGGGACCTTCTGATGGCAGAAGCATGTGGACAGCTTAAAAAAACCCAGGGATGTGGGTGTTTTCTGCCCTTCCTGGGCACTCACCGGCGTAGATAACCAAGCCGTAGCAGACGTCGGTGTTGCGCAGCTTGCAGCCTCGCAGCAAGATCCTCTCGCTGTCGAGCGAGTAGGTCTGGCCCTTCCACTCCAGCGTGCCCGTGAAGCTGTGCATGCGGCTGTTGGGCTCCTCACAGGTCACTCTCCCTTGAGCAGAGGGGCACCATTCAGGTGATGGCTTTGGGGGGGAAAAGAGAGGATCTTCCTCTCCCCTCATCCCCCACGCCTGACCCCTCCAAGGAGGGGTGCTGGGGGCTTCTTGGGGAGATTCAGGTTTTGTCAGGGCATCTCTGGATCCAGCTGAGGTACGGAGGGCTCAAATCAAGGCTAAGGTGGAGGAACACCCTGCAGTGCTGGGAGGGTGTCCAGGAACTGCCCTGGACTATAAAACTGGAGAAGGTTCAAACGCAACCTCCTTCATCCCCAGAGCCTCTGAGAGGACCAAAAGGGAAAAAAATCCAGGGTCTGATGCCAGGTTTTGGGAGCCAAGCACTTTATTCCAAGGCAGAGGGAAGGTGCACAACCCTGATGGACCCACTCTGCTGAGTAAGGGCCTCCACGTTAGGTATTTGGCTCCTTGTGGGCAGGAGCAAGTGCAACCCCCTGTTGGACTGATGGCACTTGGTGCCTGAGGGGACAGAGACTTCCCGAGGCTGGGCCCATCCCATCCTGGTGGGATGGCCACATCCTTCCCTGTCCGGGAGACTCACCATCAAAGGCAGCCATGCTCTCCTCGCTCACCAGCTCCTGGTGGGTGACCAGAAGGGCCTGTCTGAACTTCAGGTTTGTTTCCCTGCAACCAAGAGCCAGGGAGGGAAAAATAAAATAACCCCGTTGGGTGAAAGAGCTGTTAATTCTGCTGTCGGATCCATGGGACAGAGACAGCCATTAATTACATGATTACATGAGTGGTGGCAATGAAAAGCGAGATAGGGACCTATCATGCCAGACTTTGAGCCCTCATGCAGGGAGAGAGCCCTGGCCCTGAGACCCTGCCATTAAATCATCCTGCAGATGGAGGTGGGAAGGACAGGCAGCCACTGTCCTTGGAGATGGAGAGAGGTGCCCAAAGTCACCAGCTGCTCTATGGAAGCCTCCAAAGTGGTTTTGGACTCCCTTTTTCAAAATATGGGGCTCCAATCCCATTTCTGGAGCATCCGTAGGTTTAACTTCTGGAGAATCCCCCACATCCCATGGTTTCTGCTGGACTTGCAGCCCTCCCAGCGTGCCTGACCCCCCCAGTGCTGGAGGAAAGGGGGGCTCAAGACTTAGAGGCTTCAGCCTTTGGCTGGGATGTCCCTGCCCCTCTCCTCCCATGGCAGCAGTGGTCCCCTGCCCCTCTCCTCCCATGACAGTAGTGGTCCCCTGCCCCTCTCCTCACCCGTCGATGTCGGCCGTCTCCACGTAGCAGAGGCTGCTGGGCTCGGAGCTGCACAGCAGGAGCATGTCGGCCTTGAAGAGCAAAAAGCAGGGAGTGGGGGGAGCCCCAAACTGAGCCCCTTCTGGCTGAAACTGCTGCCCCCCTCACCCCCCAAGACCCCCAGCACGCAGCCAGCTCCGGCACCCCGCTCACCGGCACGAAGCTCTCCTTACGCAGGCGGACGATGTCCCCGACGCAGATGTCGCGCCATTTCTGCCAGCGGAAGCTGCAGGAGAATTAAGGGGGTGGGGGGGAATTTTTATCCTTGTAGAACAGAGGGGATTGGGGGGTGGGGGACACACACGGCTGTTTCTGTCCTTTGGACCAGCCTGTGTCTGTCCCAGCTTCTTGCATGAGTGGTATCTCCAGTTTGTTGGTTCCTCTGCAACCGTGGTGGCCTCCCATCTGCATGAACAAAGGATGGCACAAGTACCCATTTGTCACATCTATACCCCCCGTACCTATGGGTGACAGGGATTTGCAGCCCCCTGGCCACAGGTGGGAGACATTGCTCCTTCCCTGGATGCTGTTTAGCAGAAATAGGACTCTGTGGGTTAGATATGAAGACCTGGAGGAACTTCTCCGTCCAGAAAACCTTCCTCCCAGCACATCACAGCAAATTAGGGTTTTTTTAGACCTGTTGTCTGTGGCTGGGATACGATCGTCCCTACGAGGGAACAGCTGGACCAGCAACAGATTTGGGAGGTGATGGGAGTTTGCAGAGTCAGGGACGTTCCCACCAAAACCCTTCTCAGCTGCTCTGCTCAAGGATGCTCAGCACTTCAGATGGTCCGTCATTCACACAGGCCTGGAAAACATGGGTACAGTTTCCCAAAGTCTCTCACCTCTTCCCGGACAGGATTTCACATGGCCTGTTGTTGATGTTTCTGTCACTTTGGTGACGGCCCTGCACAAGGGAGAGAAACAAAGAGGTCAAAAGAAAGGGATGGGCCATGCCAGACTTCCTTGTTCCATGAAAACAACCATCTGAATGCCACAATCTGCCTCCTCAGCCCCGGGGCAAGATCTGCTTTCTGAAGCATTTGGAAGATGTATTCTGATGAACAAAGAGGCAAAATTTCCCCTGAGGTATTTCTGGGAACCAACCTGGGGATATTGTCATTGGTTAAGATATTAAAGATAACAGAGATGGGGTTTTGGCCCCAAAGAAAGCAGCAGGTTGGTCATATCCTTTCCAAGGGGAGATACAAGGCGTTTTGGACATGAGAGAGTTGATGGTACCTCAGGAATGACAAATGACAGCAACTCCTAAGCTTTTCAGTTCATCCCACAGCAAAGGGGCCCTTTCTGCTGATCATCTTCCCCCCAGGACCTACCCCCAACGCTCACCGTTTTTCATTCCAACTTGTACTCACAATGTCATCAATCAGGTCTCGTAGCCCCCGAATGGTGAGAAGGCAGCCCAGGGGGAACAGCAGAGTGAACCAGGGCAGCGTGGAGATCTCAGGGAAGGTCTGGAGAAGGAAAATTTTAGACCATGGACACAACTTCCATCCCACCTCAGGATGCTTGAGGTGACTCCTCGCTCCCAGCTCCCCTCCCCAGCCAGTGCCTGAGGATGGCAGGAACCCATCTAAGACAAATCCAACCAATCCTACGGAGAACTATTTTGTTGAATTTCCACCTCTTTTTAAAGTGGTCATGTGAGTGCCTGAGTTTGGAGGGAAGGATTTCTACTTAGGTGTGGTCTACACAAGCTTTACTTAGATCCAAACCAAATCACTTTAAATTAACCAAAATTAACATGGGTTAAACCCCTGGGAGTTTATGAAAGACAATGAACACCACTGAAAAGCACCATCCTTGACATCATTTTAGATGAGGGTCCCCTACTCTGGACACCAGGCAACCCTCCTTTGCCAAATAGTGTCACACACACTTGCCCTCGGTGTCCATCCCACCTGTAAGAGGATGACAAAGACGAAGTAGACGTTGGCCATTCGGTGGAACTGCTCGTAGAGGTTGAGGGGCAGGAAGGTAAAGATGTTGTACTTGGCTGTCTTGATGGCATTGCCCTGCAGAAGAAAGGTGGTGGGAGCTCAGGCACATGAAATCAAGGATGTGTTTTGAAAATACCAGAATTATTCTGGTGTTTTTAGGACTTTTCATGGCATAAGAGATGCCTTTAAAAGTTTTCCAAAGCCATAAGGAGAAAAGGAGATTTATTAGAGCAAAGGGCTATATAAAAATGAAACAAAATAATTTGCTTCTGGTTGTCTAAAGTGTACCTAATAGACCCCCAGCCAGATTGTCATTATTTCGCGGAAAAAAAAAATAAATCTGGCTTTGTTCAATCAAAATTTTTCCAAAAACCTTTCTTTTTGTTTGACCATCAGACTAAAAAGCATCCTTCATACAGTTCTGCCCCTTGTCTGACAGCTTCAGAGGGCACCTGGCGAGGAGCAGTCCTTTCTCTTCACTGAGGACTATGTACGTGTCTCTCCATCCTACTGGAGCATCTCTGCAGCACCTCTGTCATGTCCTCCCCCAACCACCACCACCTCAGGAATCAGGGGCTAGGTAAAGAAATGGCCCAGGGTGGCCCAGGCTGACTCACTGCGTACTTCTTCTTGCTCAGACAGAAGGCAAATTTCTTCTTGAACTGCATGTGGTAGTTGCGGTCATTGGCCCTCACCTCCCAGGTGAAAGCTGGAAAAGCAAATAGATATCTACCAGCCCTCAGCAGGGCCAGGCCCTGGCCACCAGCATCTGGCCTCCAAGGACACAAGGACCAGTGATGGTGCCACTGGGCTCATAGTGACCCACTGCTAACAAGGTGGGCTTTCCATAGTGCTCCTACAGCTTCGGAGCAGCTGAAGGTAAAACTGGGATGGAGGTGGGTCTTTGGGGTCAGCTGGGTCACAGAGCGGACAGAGAAGCAGGAGGCCAGAAGCTTCCAGAGCTGTAGGACTGCTGCCTATGGTTCCCCTCTCAGCCTCAGGCTGACCATTTGGGCTCAGCTTCTGGTTTAACAGCATAATCAGGCCAGGTGAAGGATGACTCCTCCAAGAACATTATTTCAAGGCTGGTCGTTCCTCCCCTGATTTCATTTTTACTATCCCAGTGTAGATACCACCAAGCAATGGACATCCCAGCTGTATTCCCCAACTGATGCACCCCAGCTGACGGTCTATCCTTCCAGACCATTTCACCCCAAATCTGCTTCTTTGCCATCTCAAAACTCCATCCCACAGTCAACTTTCTCATAAACTGCCTTAAAAAAAGGAAAAAACAACCCCAAACACACTCATTGCACAACTGACCTGGCAGCTGCTTCTTTCCACGCAGGCAGCCCGGGGCTGGGTCTGGGGCAGCCATGCTGGCTCCACTGCCAGGATCTAGGGACAAGGACAACAAAAGATATTTGCAACGCTGAGCAATGACACCGTGATCCCACTGGGATGCTCCCACATCCCAAAGCTGGGCCCTCCACCTCTCCAGGGTAGGACTTCCTGCAGAAGGGACACTCTCCTGAGCATGGCTGGGGATGGGTGTCTTCCCTGAAACCACAAACTCCTTGAAGGGAGGGTGTAGCCAGGGGGGGTCAGTCCCTTCTCCCAAGGAACAGGTGATGGGTCAAGAGGAAACAGCCTTCAGTTGCCCCAGGGGAGGTTGAGGATGGATATTAGGAAAAAATTTTACACTGAAAGGGTTATGAAGCCTTGGAATGGGCTGCCCAGGGAAGTGGTGGAGTCACCATCCCTGGAGGGATTTAAAAGATGGGTTGACATAGTGCTTAGAGACATGGGTTAGTGATGGTTTTTGTCAGTGTTAAGTTGATGGTTGGACTCTATGATCTGAAAGGTCCCTTCCAACCTGGACCATTCTATGATTCTACAATTCTATCTTAGACCTTTTTACGCCACCAGAGATACAAAACCCCACACTGACACGCAGGCGTCCGTAGCCATCTGATCAGTGACATCAGGCTGAATATTTGCCATCAGAAAACCTCTTTCTCCCTTTGATGCCTGATGTTCTTTGCTCCGCCCTTTGCAGGACCAGCCACAGCTCAGATGGGAATTGAAATCCACATCACCCTGGCGTTTTTGTCCAACAGTCACAGGTTTGCCCTTTGTGGGTGCCCTACGCTTACTCAGACCTCGGGTGGGCATCAGCACTGGGGGCTGCCTGGAGAGACCCCTTCTCCGTGTCCTCAGGGACGCTCAGTGGCTTTGGCGTGGGTCACCTCTCAGACCCACCTTCGCCCATGATGACTCAAAGACATTTTTCCTCTCCGAGGAAGTTATGGGAAATCATTTGAAGCTGTCAGTGAGGAACAGGAGCTCTCCCCGTCCTGCCATCACGCCCCAGCGCCCGTCATGCCCAGAGAGCAGCCACCTTCATCAATGACAAGATTTCCCTTACGCTCAGTAGCTCAGTGACCTTCCCTGCAGGGATCTTAGGGAAGATTAATTAATGTTTGTGAAGCGCTTTGTGATCCTTCCATGAAAGGAGTCAGTGAGGTATAAAGCATTAATTACCTTATTATTAAATAATCCCACACAGAGGCCTATCCCTGCCATTATTTTTTATCTCACTCCTTTGATCACTTCTCTTGTCCATTCTTTCACCAAAGGGGCTGCTTCTCACCCTATTGCTCCTCCTGGTACAAGGCAAGTTTCACACTGGTTGGCCCTGACAGGACGCTGCCCTGAGATGCTCATGGTTGCCACCAGCCAGGCCAGAGCTGTCACCTCATCCCAGGTGTCACCTCCTCCCTGAACAGCAACATGGGCAAACACCTTGGCCCCTGCGTCCAAGAGCTTGCCCAAAAAAAGCTTTGATCCACAACATCATCCTTCTTTACCACTAAGGACTCGGCATTTGTCACTGTACTTGGATCATAAATGTCACCCATGAAGTCAGCACATTTGGGGCCCATCTCTGTGTTCACAGCACGGCTGAGAAGAAAAGGAAGGATTGTGGGGAGCTGCTGTGTGTGGTGAGACGCTTGTGCTACATCCCACCGCTCCAACTACCATTTGTCCCACTGATAAGAGGGAGTGGGAAGAGCAAGGATACCCGGAGGGACGAGATTTCTTCCACACCCAGCTGCACGGAAGCCCCTTGGTGCCCGAACTGGCTGCTCCCACTTTGTTTGGGCAAAACAAGGTGGCAAAGGATTTGACACAGAGAAACGCAGATCTCCCACCAACCTCCCTGCTGTGACCCCACTCGTGTCCTTGGCCCAGGGAAGCTGTCACCCTGGGACAGCTTTCCCTGCAGACAGCCAGTCCTGGGCTGCATCTGGTTGCAGAAGGAACAAGGAGGGGGACACCAAACTGTCTCCTGCTCCTGGCAGGCACATTCCCAGTCCCAACAGAGGGGTGGGCTCCCCAGACCACACAGATGTACCTTCTCCTCCTGGACCATAAACAGGGCCAAGGGATATGGGCTAAATGGAGGTACCTGCACCATAAGGAACATCCAACAGGAGACAAAATAAACCTTCAAGACCAGGCTGGATGGGGCTTTGAGCAACCTGGTCTACCAGGAAGTGTCCATGCCCAGGGCAGGGGGTTGGAACTGGACGATCTTTATGGTCCTTTCCAACCTAAACCATTCTATGGTTCTATGAACCTCAGGGTATCCAGAATGGGGAAAACTGAGCCACCTGCTCACACTTCTCTAAATCAGCCAGTGCCCCTTGGCTCGTACTGGTGGAGGTCACCAGCCTTGCCATGACTCCGTCCCCAACACTGGGCCAGGGCACAGCAAGATCCTCATCAGCCCATGCATCCTGCAGTCCCCAACCATGGGCAAGCAGGACCCAGAGCCAGAGATGGCACCAGGGTCAACCCCAAGCCGAGATCTCCAGTCAAGCTTGTGATGATGAGATAGGTCCAGATTTAAGCCAGGAAGCCAACACGTAGGTCAAGATCAGGTCTGGTGACAAAGGCTGAGGTGAGACATAGTCCAGTGGTGGCTGAGCAGGTCCATTGGGATAAGACAGCTCCAAGGCTAAGCCAGAAAGTTAGTCCATGGGTAGAGGGTTGGGTCTGTAGCCAAGCTGGAGAAAGACCATGGACATGGAGACTGACCTACAATAAAACTCAGGCAAGGACTGAGCCAAGGGCTGAGCTTAAATGGAGCCCTGTGGCCATGGCCAGGTGTGGGAGAGGGCCCATGTGAGGCTGCTCGAGGTCATTAATGCCTGTTAGTGCCCTCAGGGCCCTGACCCATTGCTCAGAGCAACTGACCTGACCCTGACCTTGCTCCAGGACATTACTATTAAAGCTGAGGCTGACAGTGGTGTGTGCCGAGACATTTTCTTGAGCTCCCTGCTTCCAAACCAGCTTCAATCAAAGGGTCTAACCCTGCCCTGCCCCGAGTCTCCCCAGGACACACTGAAAGACCTTAGTCTTGCTTGTGGTCGTCCTTTCAGAAGGTCCCTCTTGCGCTCAAGATCCGGCCTGAAGTTGAATAACCATCAAGTCCCCGCTGTGCTTGGCATTTCCCAGCCCCATTGTACCCAGTAACGCTCGCTCCCCATTACCCCCCCTGCGCAGCTCCTCTGCTCCAGAGCTCGATGCCAGGCAAAAGTACAGCTCATTAAACACCTGCAGTTGGCAGATGCAGGACCCTCCGTGGAGCTGAGCCTTTGCCAGAGCCCAGGAGCAGGGGCGGAAAAGGGGAAAAAAAGGTGGGAGGGAGGGGGAAAAAGAGTGATTCAAAGCACTGGAGAAATACTTCCAAGGAGGTATCCAAGAAAAACTCAGTTCCAAGAAACGTCTCTACAAACCTCACTCATCGCCTCAATAATTAGCAATAAAAAGCTGCACTTTGGGTAGGCGGGAAGAGGCTGGAAGCGGGTGCCAGGGCGCTCTGCCAGCCCCAGCCGGGCGGGCTGCTGGCCAAACCCTGCCCTCGCCCCAGCCTGGGCCTTCCTGGGGCCACAACGGGCCAGCGATGGCCAAAGGCACAGGACATCCTCTGACCACTGCTCCACACCTCATCTGGACCAACAGCGATTTATTAACCTGCGGGATGTTCCTCCAACCCAACGCCTGGGATGGACCGGTTGGTCCAGCCGGGCTGGCAGGGAACGTCCCGTCCCACTGGTCCCCAAGGTCCCCAGCTGTAAAGCAGCCGCGCGGTGCTGCTGGGTGCTAACATGACCTTTCTCACCCCAAAAATGTAGTTTTTGGCTGGGGGGGGGTGGTTTGCACGGCTGAACACAGAGCAGTTTTAAGCAGGAACGGGCACTGTGCCACAGGGGTTTGGCCGGAGCTCACGAGACACGTGGAGATTTATGTCGGCCGCCGCTGCGACCCGCTGCCGCGGGGGGTTTGCTCCTGAAATCTCCGGATCAATGTTGAGCTGTTGCTCGGTAGAGGAATTAGTGTAAGATGTTGGGCTCCCTGGGCACCCAGCAGGCCCAGCACAGCCAGGTCTCATGGCTGGAGGGCTTCTGGTGGCCTTTCTGTCCCTCCTAGGCAAAAACAAGGGGGTAGGGGACCATCCTGACCCCCCAATCCCTTGCCCAGGGCTGGTGGGTGCTGCCATAACCAGCTCTGTGAGCGCTGCCGTTGTTTACACCATCACAGCATCCCCGGGGGACCCCAACCCATGCCCCGTCACCCTGGGGACCCCCCGCCACCGCCAACCCCCAGCTGCTGTGGCTCCAGCATGGCCCCGGGCTCGGCCCCACGGTGACGGTGACATCCGTGGGTGACACCAGCCGGGTGACGATGAGTGGGCGAGTGGGTGCCCGCTGGCTCATGCCTCCTCCTGCCCTCGTCACGCCGGAAACACCCCCGCGCCCCGGCCGGCTGGATCGTGCCTCGTTAAAGCCTCTCGGGGATTTTTTTTCCCCAGCTCCGAGGACGTGCCGAGGCCATGAGTTTCCCTCCGCTCGCCCTATTTTTCCACCTGTTTTGCTGCCAATCCAGGTGAAAAGGCAGGTGCCTCCATCCCCACCCATTCCTCCGTGCCCAGCGCCCAAACGCGGAGTTGTTAGAGGGTGGGGGGGTCCTCTGGGGTCCCCCCTCCTCCTTCTCCCCAGGGATGCAGATCCCAGGGGACCCCCGAAGGACCTGACGGCAATGAGCCCCCCCCCCACTGCCCACCCCTCGGTCCTGTCGGCACCCATGGGTGCCCTGAAGGGAGGAGGAGGATGGCAGCCCCTGGGAGCTGTTACCGTGAGGTGGGGGGGGCACGGTGCCACGCTTCCCCCCTCCCGCCCCCCCTCCCCGTGCCCCCGTACCTGCACCGATCCTGTCCGCAGCCCCGCCGGCAGCCGCCGAGCTCCTGCCGCCGCCCCCGGTGTGGAGCGGGGCCGGTGCCACCCGTCCTGCCCCGGGCGGGGACCGCGGGTTCGGCCCA